GGGGGGGGGGGGGGGGGGGGCGCGTGTAGAGAAGTCATAACAATTGCAATTCCTTGAAGTTAATATGACAAGCAAACAGAAAGGAGGTTGTTGGGAGGGAGTGGGGAGAGGGAGGAGGGAGGGACGTTCCAGTAATGGGCCACAATAATCAACCACATTGTATACTGACAAAATAAAATAATATATTTTTTTAAATGTTCACATTTCTAGTTAATGCCTATTCAACACCTATCAAGATAAACATGCTATTTTACTTCTATTAAAATGATAAATTATAACAACAAATTTCCTAAAACTGAAACACTCTTGTATTCTTGGGATGAACTGTACTCTGCCAGTGAATTTTTTAATGAAAAGCTGGCCACTATTTGCTAATACCTCCTTTAAAGTATTTGGATTACTATCTTGGAGAAATTTTTCATGCTGTCTCTGTCAAGTTTTGGTATTTGTATTTTACTGATTTTGTAAAAAGTTCCAGGAAGTTTTACTTCCTACATAATATGTAATAGAGTAATGGTTAAAAGTTTAGATTCTGAGGTAATACTGTCTAGGTTCAAATCTCAATTTTGCCACTTGCCAGTTATTTAACACTGGACAAACTCTTCACCTCTCTAAGGTTCAGTTTTCTTAACTATAAAAGACATAGCACTGTTATAAAGCTTAACTGAGATGATTCAGGTGATTATGCTTGCATTGTGTATAAACTAAATACAAGGGTACTTTTAAAAGTTCATAGAAAGAGTTTATTTTTATTTTTCCACAAACATTTTTGAAGTACCCTCGTAGATGTTAACTACCATTAATAGAAGCCCTGGTATACAATACAATCAAGACTAATGGTTGGTTAAATGAAAAAATAGGTTAGAGGAAAGCATAAAAAAAGATACACAGATACACAATTTAAACATTTTATTTTAACTGAAAATTTACAAATGTACATTTATTCTCCAATTTTCTGACATGCGGTCAAAGCTTTCTCTTTGAATAGAGGATTCACTGAATGAAAATCTACATTAGCTTTTTTGCCCGAACCACACCCATAATACATCATCAAGGATTTTTATTTTTGGTTTCTTTAAGTACAGTTAGAAATTAAAAACACTTTCAAAGCAATCCAAATGCTAAATCTAGATTTTCATGACTTTTCTAAGTTATAGTTACTTGCCCACATCTAACTAGATAGTAACTTTTTATAGTTTTTTGCAAAGCACTGCATCTGTCTATATTTAATTAAAGTACATAATTACAATAATAAAAAATTTAAAACAACCACCTCTTGGTCATTGTATTCTTCAACTGGTAGAATAAACCTGTAGTCTAACTAGAAAGTGGTAGCCTACAAGCTACAAGCATTCAGCTTGCGATGTTATCAAGCTCATATTTATTTCCAGAGGGAACAGAGAGCATCAATGAATCTAATGAAGCTGCTCAAGGGAATATTAAATAAGAAAGCATCCACTGCATCATTCTCATGTTCTGGAATAGTTTAAAGAACATTACAATTATTGGTTTCTGAAAGACTGAGAAGAATTTATGTTTGAAAATGTTGAGGCCTGGTTCTTTTAAGAAATGCTTTAACAGCATTATTAGCAGCATTATTTCCTCCATTTGTGTTTTCTCTTGTGTTCTAGGATCAATACGTGTCAATCAAGTGGTTTCAAAATTATTTTGACTTTCTTTATATCTGACGTCAATTTCTATCTTATGATCTTCATTTCATTTAATTTCTTTATACGCTCTGTTCATAATAAGTTAAACTAGTGGGTTAATTTATATTGCACATATGTATGAATAAACCCAAGACCAGATCGTGGATTTATTGATAAGTTTTACATTTTTCTGTACTGTAACTCATTAACTGCTTTTTTCCCCTGGGTTTATTTCACTGTTTTTTCCTAGCTGGTCAGCTGAATACTTCATTCATTTATTTTCATTTCTTATTTAGTAGTATATTTAAAGTTGCAATTTTCTCTTTAGCACAAGGTTTTGCCCATGGATTTTTATATTTAATCTATCACTCTTTTTCTAAAATTTGATTCCTCTTTAGTCTAACAATTATTATTATTATTTTTTTTCCTTTTGTCTCTTTTTTCGTGTCCGGCAATGGATCGCAACCCTCAGTGTCGCGCCCAGACCGGGACCGGCAACGGGATCGCAACCCTCGGTGTTGCTCCCACACCTCGCTCAGCCAGTGAGCGGGAACCGGTCTGTATGTGGGATCCGAACCCTCGGCGGGAGCGCCACCGCGCTCCCAAGCAGCGCACTGTAGCAGTGCGCCACCGGGCCGGCCCCTAACAATTATTTTTAACATATTTAAAATTTTAAGAGTTGACTTTTTTTCATTTTAGTATTAATTTCTAGTTTTACTCTATTTTATTTAGAGAATACAGTCTGCAGTATAGTTGTCCCTCAATACCCACAGGGGACTGGTTTCAGAACCTCGTCCCCCACCCACATAGATACCAAAATCCAGGGATGCTCGAGTTCTTCATACAAACTGGTATAGTATTTACAAATATAACCTACGTACATGCTCCTGTATACCTTCAATCATCTCTAGGTTACTTATAATAAGTAACCTAGAGATGACTGAAAGTGATGTAATATAAATGTTACATAAATAGTTGTTATACTGTATTGTTTTTAATTGTACTATTTTTATTGTTTTTCTTTTTCCTGAATATTTTTGATCCACAGTTAGTTGAATATGCAGATGCAGAACTCCCAGATATGGAGGGCCAACTGAACTTCAGTGTTTTGGAGTCTACTCACATTTTCTTTTTCTACTAATACGTATATAACTAACTTCTGTAAATGTCCAATTAGCTTTGAAAGGTGTTTTTTTATATTTTCAGGAGTTTCAATTCCTCTCGATCCTTGTCTACTTGTCTGTCATACAACAAAATAGGTAAGATAAAAGTTTTTGATGTTTCTGGTGAAATCCGTCCCTCCCTTATCCTCTTTTCATTAAAGGTTCTGTAATTGGACCCCCTCAGCCAAGTCTGGGACATACTAGTTCTATGCTTCCGTTTTAATAGCCAATGAGGCAATTGGCTGATCTGAAGTTGAAGCAGTGTTACTTCCTGGCCTGGGTGTTTCTGACTGCAACCAAGTTATCCCCAGAGAAGAAGTAGACTCTAACTAGGGCACTCATTTTTCCCTACAGTAAAAGAACCTTACTATATATAGTAAGATTAGTACTGTTAAAAATCTTACTGAGCCTCCAAAATGGGCAATATTATGGTTTTGAAGGTTTGATTTTTGTTTTGGAATTTTGGCTACTACACTCTAGTGTAATTATCGCCCCCAAAAGGGGAATACTTAACAATTCTCGGGATCTTCTTTTGTTTTGATTAAAGTTGTCTATTTCTGGGTGATACTTTTCACAATTTATAAGATGAAGTTGGGATCCTTCTCTGGTTACTATTTGTTGCTTTATGTTCATTTTGTTCAGTTGGGAAAGTAAAATTCTGTAAATCTGTGCCACCTACCAACATCTTTCCTAAAAGACCTCATCCATATTTTGAAACTTTCATGGAAATCTTATAAGCTGCAAATCTGCATTATTATATATGAAACCAAAGCCTTTTATAAGAAAATAATTCATTTAAAAAAATAAGATGAAGGGCCGGCCTGGTGGCGCACTGGAGAGTGCGCCGCTTGGGAGTGCAGCGGTGCTCCTGCCAAGGGTTTGGATCCCATGTGGAGACCGGTTCCCGCTCACTGGCTGAGCGTGGTGCGGGCGCAGCACCAAGGGTTGCGATCCCATTACCAGTCAGTAAAAAAGACAAAAAGGAAAAAAAAAATAAGATGAAGAGAAAGGTGACTACTATATATGTAAGTAACATGTATAAGTTCTTTGATAGGCTCCATATAATGAAGACCTATGCTAGTGGGTATATGCACATATTTTTGTGTGTAAACACTCATATATAGTGACATATAAACATATATATGTATTTAAAATAAAACATTTCTTTATAATATTCCAAAAACAATTCTGCCTTTCTGCCATGCTTTCTAAAAAAGTATCTACCATTCATTCTCTCCTACCTCATATTTACTCTTCCTTCTCAGTCTTATCTTTTGGGCCTCAAGTCCTTTGATTTAATCACAAAAAAAAAAGATCTAGGAACTTTAAGATCCTTAATTTTACTGGGACAAGTATCAAAGTGCCTGCATTCTAGTTTCTCCTCCATTTAGCAGACATTAGTCTTCAAGAGAACCATGCTATTCTCCTCCTGAAAAGACAAGCTTGAAAGATTTTAAATTTCCTATGGAGTATACCATCTCCCACCCCACAAAGAGTACAATCAGCAGCTTACCTTATTAATTCTAGTTGTGCAAGTTCCTGATTTGCTTGAAATATAGGTTTTTTAGTGAACAGTTCACCAAGAATACATCTAATGGAAAAAATACCCATCATTACCAAATGATTTTAAATTCACTACCAAAAGTTTCAAGTAAAATAAACCAGTCAATAAGTCTATCTTACCCACAGCTCCATACATCAATAGCTGGTGTATAGCGTTCTTCTCCCAATAGCAGTTCAGGTGGACGGTACCATAAAGTGATGACCTTGTTAGTATATGGGCGACTAAAAAACACAGAAAGCACTCTTTAGAGTTAGTATTTGTTGGAGGAAGAGAGATTCTCCTATCAAAGCAATCCTAACTAAAACCTCTGTCATCTGCCTACTAAATACAGTCAGACTGAGGCAACTGTAATCATAAAAAGCATCTGAGAGCAACCTGAGTAACTGAAAAATTCCTTTAACATATGAAAATTAAAAGTAGTTGGCTTGTGTAACTGTAATTGGGTCAAAGAAAGGTCTTTTTATCAACTTACCTGTTCAGTACTGATTTTCCTTTTCATAAAAACTTTTTAAAGGGATTAACTGATTTAAAGGGAATTGATTAATTTTGACCAAATCTGGCAAGTTACTAATGGGTGACAAGATACAGTTCAAACTGGGACCACCTAACAAAAGTTTTCAACTTGACATACGTTTGACAATATTTCATTGATTTCAACTCACTGATATATGAGTAGAAAATACAGAAATGCAGACTATAATAGTTGAGGTCTATTCTGAAAAGAATCACCAGCAATGGTACTTTGTCAGATGAGTCCTTTGTCACCTTCTAAAAAGATGACATATACACACTGCTCTTTATTTGCCGTAGAAGAGATCATCTAGCCAATATGAAGTCAAATTTGACCATTACAGTACAAATCCTCCTACAAAGTGTTTTCAATCCTCAGAGAATGGTCACATTCTAGTTGATTCATGTGAATGAAGTGGGTCCTTAGAAGTCAGTGGTTTTGTGACTGATCCAAGGTTAGAGTATACTTCAGGGTGATCACACAGGCATTTACACCAATTCTAACCATCTCTTTTTAGAGATGTTTTCCAAATCACAAGGACTCAATGGCTATATCATGGGAAATTCCCCCAGAAAGGGTGCATTCCAAGTTCATTTGCCTGAGGTTGGCTTGGACCTGGACCAATTTTAGGAAGAAGGAGAAGGAGCATACTATTTTTAAACCAATTCCCTCTCGCCAACTATAGATCTGAAGTTCCAGGCAGCATAAGATCTGTCTGACCTGCTCTACCCCATGCAGCCAATTTCTCCTAAAAATTTAAACTCTAGTATTATAAACCATAAACCTGGGTATCACAGCATTACCACAGATAGGACTATAGTAACAGTGTTCCAAAACCAAAATAAAAAGTTTAATTGACTTTGGTAAAAATTGTGAAAATAAAGACAAGAGTCTAAGATGTGTATTTTTAATAGAAAGTTAGGATTAGATTTTTAAACATTCCTAATGTGCTTTTCTTAGTGATTTTTCTTTACTGGCATCACCTACCTTCACATAATGAGGAAGTATTTTAAACTCTAAATACTTTAATTAAGCTAGACTTAATCATTCCTTAAAATATGTTCAATTCTTTATTCCTTAACTCCTTTTAAATTTGAAATTCCTTCCCTGTTTTTCTCATTCAAATATTTACTTCCTTCATGACATAGTGAAAGACCCACCTTCTTAAAGTCTATCTCTACTATTAACAATAAATTTATTTTCACATTCTTAAATTTATATCATACTTACCACTGTCTTGAACCCTCTATATTCTATTTTCTATCTCCCCAGAAGGTCAAAAAACCCAATACCATTCTTTATTATGCACCCCCACACACAAAGTCCCAAATAATGCTGGGCACAGAGGAGGCACCTTAAAGTATATGGCCCTGCAACTTTAGGTGACATACATGATCTGGCTGGGTAGGAGAACAAAGTTTATAAAAATTATGATGACTAGTGTCTTTCAAGGGTCCATAAACATATGAAACCTATGGTCATATTATCAAAGTGTAACTAGATAACTAGTCTTAAGGAAATGTTTGAATTAATATAAACATATCTGCAAATAGTTAATTTTTATCATTTTATTTATTTTTGGTAGCTGGCCTGCACAGGGATCCAAACCCTTGACCTTGATGTTGTAATATCATGCTCTAACCAACTGAGCTAACCAGTGAGCCCCATTAAAAAAAAAAAAAAAATTAAATACCTTAAAAAATAAATGTTAAATTATAGAGAAACTGCACAAATTCAGGTGACTAAATTTTATTTAAAAACATATTTAAATAGAAGGTTATTTATATATGCTACATATCAATTTCTAAGCAATATTTATAACATAGTCACATTTAGCAGTTAAAACTAGACTAGTTCATTTTTTTTATTGACTGTCTTATCAAATTCAGAAGTGAAAATATTTAGTCCATTTTCAAAAATGATTAAACACAAAACTAGATGAAATATACTTCTGAGTGTACAGCAAAAATATTTAATGTATATGAATTAATGGCTTTTCCAAATATTTCCAAATGCTTATTTTCTATCAGAATAAAAATAAGAACTAGGTAAAGACTGAGAAAAAAACATTCAACAGTAAAACTTAACACAGAAAGTTCAATTTTAAAACACTAATATAATCTCAAGATTGTGGAAATTCTTTCATTTACTGAGTAAATATTCAGATTGGTATATACTTTTTGTAAAACAAAGAACCATCCTGACATTTTTCTTTATACTCAATGAATACCAACGAAATACAGATCAGAGACGTTCTATCTGTTCAGTGATAGAGTCCAACATTTTGCCTCTTAAACAATCTAAGGAATTCCAGAGATTTGGAGGGCAGGGGAGATGACATATGGTTATGGCCTTCCCTACCTTGAGGGCTGAGAAGCAGCACTGTACCCACAACAAATCAGGCACTGCCATAAGGGTGTGTCCCCAGGCTGGCACATGGCTCAGCCTCATATCACTCTAGATATAATACAAAGCAAACCAGATGCTCAGAGCAGAATCCTAAATCCCTGAAGTATTTGGGGATTCTGGATAATCCCAGTTAAAATTTACAAACCAGAGTTGCTGCCTTTGTTAAGAAATGAAAAAAGAATCATGTACATAAAAGGAGATACTTAAATTAGCTCTAAAATGCTTCATTTTTCCAATACAGATAATCAAGTCTGCACCTATTTCTCTTACAATATAATTTGAAGCAGAATCATGTACATAAAAGGAGATACTTAAATTAGCTCTAAAATGCTTCATTTTTCCAATACATATAATCAAGTCTGCACCTATTTCTCTTACAATATAATTTGAAGCGTTTTTGAGACAAAATAAGGAGAGCCTTCAGTTAACTAAATTCATCATTTGCACAAAATGTCATGTCACACACGTGACATTCAGAATTCACTGTAGAAACACCTACCAAACCTTCAAAAGAAAAAAAAAAATTCCAACCATTTTTCACAATTTCCACAGCTACAACCCTAGTCCAAGCCATTATTATCTTTTCACTGGTACTACTGCAACATTATCCTACCTCGTTTCCTTGCCTCCATCCCTCATCCCCCTACCTTTCTTCTTTTAACTTTTTTTAAATCACAAAACCAGATCATATCACCTACTTGCCAAAACTGTCCAGTGATTTCTCACTGCAACTGAATAAAATTTAAACTTTACCTCAATTGATAGGGCCATACACCGAGGATCCCACCTGCAAACACACTGGGAAACTTTTTGACCCTTAAAACTTCCAAGCCTGTTCCTAGTCTGTACGCTAGCTGAGTTCCTTCTACTTTCTACTTGGAATGTTCTTTGCCCTGGTCTTTAAGTTTTCCCTTTCTTATCACTCAGATCTTACCTCCAATTTACTGCCTCAGAGAGGTCTATTCTAACTGCCCTAGCAAAACTTATCCCAGCAACATCCCCCCACCCCATTTGACCCTATAGTCACTATTTTGTTTGTTTTTGTTGTACTTTGTATTTTAAATTCTCTCCTCTACCCAACAGGTACACTAACTTCCCTTATTACCATGTAAATGAGACAAGGGATTTGATCTGTCCTTCACAGCTCTATCTCTAAAAACCAGCCAACAGGTAGGTATTACCTGGGTCAGTGTCTGGCAGTAATAGAAAGCACTTATTAATACTTTAATTGACTGACTTATGCCATAATTACATAACAATAAACAGTCTTTTTCTCATGCTCTTTCCCTCTTCCTTTCTATTTTCACTTTCACTTTCCATCTTTTGATTTCCTCCAAGAAAAATAACTTTTAAATTCCTGCATCATCACATTGCTACAGAGAAACAAAACTAAACTTTTTCCAACTGATGCTATCATCTTACTAAGACCATTTGTCTTACTTGCCCATTCTTATGACAAATGCAAATTTAGAAGTCCTGTAAGGATACATCATAACACATCCCAAAGCAAATTTATTACCTTTTTCTGCAAACTGTTTCTCTTTTCCTGTTTCCTGTCTCAGCATACAGCACCACCATTTTTGGTGGAGACTGTTAGCTGTTCTCTAAAATCTGTTCTTTCTTTCTTCTAAGGCAGCTGCCCAGCTATGCTATATTTCCCATCTTCCCTTCAGTCGGGTGTGGCCACATGACCAGTGCTCTCCAGTGGAACATGAGCACATATGTGATAAGTATTACTTCTAGGCCTGACTCATAACTCCTCCCTCCTTTTTTCTCACTGCTGGCAACAGCTTTGGAAAGCAAGTGCAAGATGGCATATCTTCCAACCTGGTTTCCTGAATGACTGTATGAGGCAGTCACCACTTGACCTGGTGATATGGTTAAATATTAACTAATCTTAATTGTGCATTGAGGTAAGCAACAACCGCTTGAGATTATTAAGTGAAAAAAATACATAAACTTCTTATTCTTTAAGCCACTAAAATCTGAGGTTCTCTCTGTTACAATAGTTTAGCCTACCCTAGTTGCTTAAGCAGAGACCTTACAGTAGGAGTGGAGACAGGGATGTATCTCACAACATACATTCAACCATCAAATTCTAACAACTCCACAACCTTGTGATATAATTCATCTCTTTCTTTTCAACACCTATGCCCATTCCCTGGTTCTAGCCATAAACATCCTATCCTGATTTACTGCAACAGCTTTCTAATTGACTGTCCTTGCTTCCAGACTTACAAGCCAATCCACTTTTCAAAGTGTAGTCAAAGTGACAGTATAAAATTAAGTGTGAAGGTGTTA